TGTAGGATGCCTTTTTGTTCTACTGATGGTGTCCTTTGCTGTACAGAAGCTTTTTAGTTTGATATAGTCCCACTTGCTCATTTTTGCTTTTGTTTCCCTTGCCCATGGAGAAACGTTCATGAAAAAGTTGCTCATATTTATATTCAAGAGATTTTTTCCAGTTTTCTTCTAAGAGTTTTATGGTTTCATGACTTACATTCAGGTCTTTGATCCACTTTGAGTTTACTTTTGTGTATGGGTTAGACAGTAATCCAGTTTCATTCTCTTACATGCAGCTGTCTAGTTTTGCCAGCACCATCTGTTGAAGAGGCTGTCATTTTCCCATTGTATACCTGGATGTCATGACATGGCTATGACATGACTTTGAGAGCTCTGTCTTAATCTTACCCACATTATTATTTTGCAAGTCATTTTATTGCGGTTAACTGATCAAGGTTTATTATCTTGAAGAGCAAATTATAGCATGACCTTACTAAACTAAAATATCTAATAAACTAAATCCTACCTAATAGGATAAACAGAACACTTTTGAAAAATGTTGAATTGTAGAGGAGGGAAAAGTCTAGGTTGATGATTCAAGACTCACCAAAGACCTGTTTCTTTACCACCTCAAATAATATTTGGAATAAACATCTATCTTCATATATAGATGCGTGGAGAATGAGATCACTCAACCATCTAATCTGGAATTTATTTTATGAAATGAAAATTTATATTTCTTCCAAGTTACAAACCAATTTTCCTAGCAAGATTTAAACAATAATCCTTCCCTTCTCTATGGATATATGATGACCCCTTTATTATATGTTCAACCTTTAAATAGCATTGATTCTAGAAAACCTATACTATTCCACAGATCTATTTTTATGCCTATTGTGCATTGTTTTAATCACTGTAACTTTATGATATGTTGTGCTACAGTTCTCTCTCCTTTTTTTCACACATTCTTTATTTTAAATAAGCTTGCACATTTTTGTAAAGTTTTAAAAAATATCGTTTTATTCTGACTATAAAGTCAGGTTTTGGAAAATAAATAGAGAAGAAAGAAGAAAATAAAAATCACTTTCATTATCATTCAGAGTGTTCTGATAGGAATTACAGAAAACACTGGTAATGTGCATTTATTTGACCTTTCAACCATTATTTGCAAAAACTAGACTGATGCAAGTACATATTTATGGAATTCTTGTACCTTGCACTGTTCTACTTTATTTCCAGCTTCATCCATCTCTTCCTTTAGGGTATCTATTTTTGATGGAAGCCCCTGGAAGTTGGTTCCTGAAGATTTGTGAGCCTGGTTCCACCTGCCAAAACATGGGGATAGTCGGTCTCTGAGATCTAGCAGTACTACTCAACCTTATGGAGTCAAGGACATAAAGGAGACAGACCCTCTCCCCAAACCTGATTCTACCTGGGAGACTTATTCAGTACCTGAGATGCCAGCTTGTCTTGAGTTTGTCCTCTAAGAAATGGAAGCAGACAAAAAGAGACATTAGCCTCCCACAACACAGGACCTTGTTGTGCTGGGAGTAGCTGTCTGCTCCAAGCAAGATCTACCACGTTTTGTCTCATACATGCCCCGCTGCTGAAAAGTAAGCCATGAAACCCTTTTCCTATAGTGTCCAATTATGGAATCCTCGCTGTGAAACACTCCCGTGCTCTCCTGCTTTGATATGGAATGTTTCTGTGCCACTGGGAGTCAGTTCCTGCTCTTGAGGACCCTATGGCTCTTCCTGCTACCAATCCACCTGTGATTACTTTCAGCAAGTAAAAGAATGTCAGACACATAGGTAGCAATCGGTCACTATGAAAGCACTTTTAAGAATTAAAACCCTTGTAAGAATTAACATTCTAAAGACAATACCTACAGCAAATCTGAAAGATAATGTGGAATATTTATGTTCTTTTTATAGTAAGTCAAAAAGGCTAAAAAAAAAAAGAATTATACTGTTGCAAGAGTAGGGAAGTGTGTGGGGGGCAATATTCTAAAACAGTTTCCATTTGGTTTTCAAGTGTGCTTTAACTTCTGTTTGAATACAAATATGTCTGCTCTTGTGAAAAGTTCTAACACTTTAAATTTAAGCATGGATATTATATAGATGCAGCCTGAGAACCCATGTTAGCAAATGATTAAGCTTCCCAGACTGCTCCATTGCCCCCCAAATGCTATGCTCTGCCCACTTTCACATTCCTGATGGGATGTGCTCCTCCAGAGCAAGGCCTCAGCAAGTCTGCTGAAGCAGACCTGGAGATGCTATGTAGCAGACCACACAGGGACTTTGGAGTCTGACATGCTCAAGTTTGAAGCTCGGCTCTACCTTCAGCAACTGTGTGACTGTGGACAATGACCTCCCTTGCGCCTCAGTTGCTTCATCGGTAAAACTAAGATGATGAACACCCTCTGCCTTGAAGAACTGTCACAAGGTGAGAACAAATATGTGTGTGTGTGTGTGTGTGTGTGTGTGTGTGTGCAATGCCTGGCATATAATGGATTCCCACTTAGGAATTAAGTAGTAATTAGTAATTAGTTATTAAAATTTTCCTCTAGAGAAAATCCAGAAATAAGTAAAAGTAAAGAAGGAATATTCAACAGTGTCAGTTTCTCTTAATTCCTACTTGGATAAATTGAGTGAACGAGACCATGAGTGCAGGATCGAGAGTAAGTGTTGCAATCCCCCGTGGGACACACGCACTGTAGGTGTCAAATTTCTGGCGGAGAAGCATCTAAGCATTGCTCAACCCACTCCAGTGGGGGAGCATTCATGGCTTTGTTTAACCATTAAAACATTCTTCCTTATCTTGAGCAAAAATCTACCTCAGGGTAGCCTCCACCACAGTCCTGGCCTGCAGGATTCTAACCACATGGATACATGAGACAAGGAGAAATGGACTTTGCAGTCAGAATCCTAGCTCTGCCATTTATTATCTCTAAGGCATGAGGCAAGTGATACAGATACTCTGCACAGGCTCTTCCCTTATCTGTAAAACGTGCTTCCTCTCAAAAATAGGGGTGTCACATAACCATTCATGTGCCAGCTCTCATGGAGGGGCCTCTGCATCAAGTACCCAGCAGAGAGCCTGACATACAGTAAGCACCTGGTCAGTACCTACTAAAACACAAATGAGCCAACAAAGAGGGATTGGCAAAGAGAATCAGTGAGCTGACAGCTCATGTATGCAGCTCAATACCAGGCATGTGGCAATGTCCAGTAAATGGTGGCAATTATTTTTACCATGTTAATTCCTACATGTTCCTTTTATCATATTATCCTTTCTTAAATCAGGACATGTCTTAACAATTGATTTGCACATTTAATGGACAGGGGTTTCTTTTTTTTCCCCGAAAAAAAGCAGATATTAAACCAGTCAGTGGTGCAAGTGATACTCAACAGCATCTTAGGCACAAGGAAATGAAGCACTGTTACAGATTTTCTAAATCTGTGATAAAAGCCTCTGACATACAGAAACTCAGTGAATGACTGCTGTAGTTCTGTATATTTGCCAAACAGAAATAACCATATCTACATCACAGGACTGCAAGAAGGATTAAAAGACCTAACAAAGCAGGGGTTGGCAAAGCCACCTGTTTTTGTAAATAAAGTTTTATTGGAACAAGCCATGCTTTGATTTATGTACTGTCCAGGACTGTTTTCATGCTACTACTGTAGAGCTGAATAGTTGCAATGGGACCATCTGGGTCACAAAACTGAAAATGTTTACTATCTGGCCCTTTACAGAAAAGGCATGTCAATCTTTGTGATGGAGTAAGAGAAAGCACAGGGCTGGTGGTGGCTGCCTCCCAATCCCCACTCTCATATGCCTGAGGAGAAAGCTGGGTAAGTCACTGATACAAACGCTCAAGGACAGAGCTGAGCCTGGAGCCCTGCTGAGAAGCACCCCCAGACTGCTCTTCTGACATCAGCCCACAGGTGGGCAGCCTTCTTAGTCCTAGGTGAGTGCACGTGATGGTGAAGGTGATCATAGCCACATGGGGTTTTGACTTGGACCCTCAGGAGCTGCTAAGATCACAGATCTATTTATTCCTACACCCTATCTCACAAGCAACACTCTCAGAGCTGTCTGCCACTATCCCCTCTCCCCTAAACCCTTACTTAGGTTTCTTTTTTCTTTTGTCTCCTTTCACCATCAGTTCACTAAGAACAGGATGTTCTAAATTACCCCCACTGCCATGCATGAGGGAATGAGGCCTAAAAGCAGGTGTAAGGAGGCTGTGACTGGGTCTATAGGTCAAGTGCATGAATCTGTGACAAATTCCATTTTGTCCAACAAGTGTTCTTCCTCTCACCTGTGTGGGGATGAGGATGGTTGCTGGGGAAGTGACAGAATACTGCACTACTGCTTATTTTTATAGCTTTACCTTACCTGGCTCTGACCGAATCCCAGTCTAGCACCAATTTAGCAAGCTGCTTCCTCTGCTTTTGGATGTTGGGAATCTCCACCTAGAAAGAAGAACATGCCACATACCAAACAGGTTAAGCCTTGGGGGTTTTTGCTTAACATTTCAAAGTTGAAATATTTATTGCAATTTCTTTTCTTATAGACCAAGGCTTTTGTGCCCTCAATTTACTCCCTTTATTTCCAAAAGGAAGTGTATGCTGAAGCTAAAAACCTCGATTATTTTACAATGTCAGATACATATGAACCATTCACCTTGCAGCCTGCACCACTTCTACACCACACAGCAAAAACTCACCTCTGCTATGCTGCACAGTGGGTCCACAATCTCTTTCTCAACAAAGACTTCATGCTGAGAGAGTTCAAGAGCCAGCTGATTCTCAGCATCTCCACACATCTCCAGCATCTTCCTTTAAAAAGAAGACACCACACAAGCATATGTGTTCATTAAACTGGGGATCTGGTCGCCCTCCTGAGCCAGTTCCACTGTTTATGATGGAAACACAGTGGAGCAGCACACAACAGAGCATTAAAAGTATCATAAGTTGACTGCATCTTAAAATGTGAGCCCACAGATTGGTACTTTAAAATAGAAGACTACCTCTGGTATGTACTCTGTGTGTGTGTGTGGGCAGGGGGTGGGTGTGTAAACAATGAGGTCACAACTCATTCAAGGATCAGGTTCTAGATCATGTGAAAATGAGGTGTTCTCAAAAGCACCCTGAAAATCTTTAAAATTGTACATAAAGTTCAATGCATGTTACTTTATGACTGCTAGTGAGGTCAGCCCAGGCAGGGTCTCCTCCAGGGTTAACGCTAGGGCTGATTTTCTGCTGGGTGCATGACACAGCGGGCTGACATGTAAGGGCCACGTCAGATGAAATCCATGTTTCCTGTAAGCATACAGCTGATGTCACACAAAGTATACATGCAAAGGATATGGATGTTCTGTAACTGTTCCTCCTTCTTACTGCCCACCTCTCTCCTTTCCTTCTCAACCCTCCCCCTTTAACTCTCTGTGGGGTTCTTATGGAATGAGAAATGTGTGTGGTAGCCATGGTGCTCTAGTAAAGAACATGATCTGTGTGCCAAGCCACTTGAGTTTGAATATAGGCGTTGCTATTTACCAGCTGTGTGGTCTTGAGCAATTTATTTACCTTCTCAGTTTATTAATTTCCTCACCTATACAATGGGGATGTCACACTGCCTACCTCCTAGTGTTCTGAGGACTGAATGAGTTATCACTTAGAAGGCACACAGACCAGTATTAGCACATAGCAAGCACGCCACTAACAACTGTGGTGATGGTGACAGCAACAACATGAGGAAGAAAAAACATGGAAGCACATTCAGGCTGGAGGAATGTGCCCAGCATGCAGGCCCAGGGCCCCCAAGTACAGGAGCACACAAGGCACAAAGAAAGGGTGAACAGTGGGAGGAAACCATTATCCTTCAGAGAATGAAGAGAGACTTGTAGGGCACAGTGTATGGAAGACCCCAGGAAATGGACTGAGGAGACCAAAGGCCATGCCCAGCTGGGAAGCAGGGCCCCAGGTACAGCAGGAGAGGGCAGACAGGGTTAAAGGACGCTGGGCTCATAGAGAAGCAAGCAGAAGGAAGGGTCAACTTTTTCCTCTTAAATTGAAAAGATATATTATTAGATTTTTAAAATGTATGTGATACATGCCCAATGTAAAGAAAAAGCTCCAAATAATTCAGAAAATATGTGATCTGAGACAACCACCATTGACAATAGGGTGAACACCATTAAAGGAAGTGACTTTTAAGGACTGGAAGGGACTAGTCAGAGTTTATGAATCTGCGTCAACAGCTGGAACAGGGAAGGGCTGAGTTCTTTATTCCCAAGCTTAGTGGAATAAATATTGACCTATCAATTACTTTTGTTAGTGGCCCTTTCTACCACCCAACCCTTGCCTTGCTGGTAGTAAAGGAAGTTTCTCTAGCATCCAGTAGCCTAGACCCCACTTGTTCCCACAGAGCCTGTGCTGCTCTCCTGGCAGATGAGCCATGCCATCACATTCATGATCCTTCTGTCACAGAGATGGCTGCCACAGATACCACCCACCTATCCACTTCCACTGACCCACGGGGCACCTGGCTCTCTTCCTGAAAGTGGCCGACTCTTACCCCAGGAGAGACTCTTCCAGCTGGGTTGATGTTTCTTGCATGTTCTGAGCAAGAGCTGTCAGAGGGAGTTTTTTCTGGAAGAGAGAAGACAGTGTGTTTTTCTCATTATTATAGACACCCAGTCTCAATTACCTGCTTCAGATCACCATTCACTGATTTCTCCTCCAGGCAAACTGTACAAGAAAGAGAGAGCTTGTCTGGATTCAGGTTCTGGTGTAAAAAGTATGATTTGTGTGACTCCAACTGTGACAGTTTTGTCATGCCTGGAATAGAGGGATGATTACCGGGTGAGTGTCCCAGGACTGCCTATTGTCTAAAGGAGATATTCAACATCAAGTACCTAGCACCCCAGCACACACAAGTACTCAATAAGTCTTAGCTGCTATCATTATTGTTGTTGTTGTTGGTATTATTATTATTATTAATCAAGTGTGTGTTATGTCCAAGGCACTGCGGACATAAGACACTGACCTTGCTATCTGATTATCATAACAAATAAATGCAATAAAGTGCTCAATTTCAAAGTTTTGCTAGAATATTCATTCTTAAACTGGCTCTGCATTTGGCTATAATCATAAAGATTTACCTTTATTTAAATATCTAAAAATATCTAGCTAAGTATCCAAAAACTTTTTTTAAGGTTGGTAAGCACAAAACCACTCATTTTCCAAGCAGAGATTTCTTTTTCAGCTGGAAATAACCAGTTGAAATCATATGATTAATGTCTGATTGTACAGTCAAGGACCCTGAAGCCCAGGGGGGTGAGGTGGCCTGGGGGGGGCACCCTGGTGAAGGGCTGCAGAGGCAGCCCTCAGTGTGGTGGCCTGAGCCCCAGTTCAGTGTCTTTCCACCACCACCAGCTGATGGCTTATCTTAGAATATGCGTAGAAGAGGCCTAGAAAGTAACAAGTGGGTTGGTTATAACACCATAATCTGCTAACAAAAATTGTGTTTGATGTTGTAGCACCCCATGTCATTTTGCCTTCCCAGTAGAAAGGGCACTCATGTCAAGGACACAGCTTCCACACTGCTGCAGTATTGTTGTGCCTTGACCTCTGCATGTCCACCTGCCTTTCCTGCTTCTGAAGGGTTCCATTGATATACTTACACCTGCATTTGCTTGTATTGTAAAGGATATCTCTGGAAGGCTACCCAAGAAACTGCCTATAGTGGTGGTTCTGGTAAGGGGAATAGGGTGCCTGGGGAATAGGATGGGAAAAGACACTATGTTCTTTTATGTATTCTGGATTTTCACCACATAAATATAGAGCCTATTCAAAGCAGGACATTGGCATTTAAGAATATGTAACAACAAATATAGTTACCCATCTCCCCTCCCCCGACATTATTTTCTAATTAATAAATAAGGGGCTTCACCTGCCCCACAAGGAGATAGTCCCAGCTTCCATACTTTTAGACTAGGCAGATACCAGAAAATGGGCAGTGTGTTTTGATTCTGATAAAAGGATAATTTGTACATTTTAGTTATGCTTTTCTAAGGGAATTTAAGTCTAGGATAAAGGCAATAATCAAGAGAAATATACTTTGTGCAATTCTGGATCTCTATGGGTCGATGGGGAAAAAAATAATAAAGAAGGGAGTCTGCTTTGATAAACTCTACTGGAGTAATCATTCAAGCTCCTAGCTATAAGTGCCCTATGCCCTGACCCCAAAGCCACAATAGTCCTATTTCCTGATGTCCATAAAGCATATTCTACTTATTTAACACCTGAGCTGGTAAATGAAGATGCTGCCTACTACTATCAAATTCCTCCACAGGTGAGGCTGAGCTCTTCCTAGGTGTGAATAGCTTTAGCACCAGAGTTTCCTTTAAAAGGCCCTAAAGTCATACTTTATAAAACAAATGCCAACTGAAGAGAAAGGAATCATTCGAGGTCTCCTATGGGCGACAGCACAGCTCTGCCATACTGATGGCCTGGGCTGAGAAGGCCACCTGCTCAGTCCGTCTTCCCTCCAATCCACACATGGGATTGGAGCCTCTGCGGGGCCTTTGGGGGGCTCTTTCCGTGTACTCTGGAGCCCCAGAGACTGCTGTGATATTCTCCATGTCACAGGTCCTCTGTGGTCACCTGTTCTTCTGTTATTTTCATGGTAACTACTCTTCCCACGTGCAGAGCGTAGACATCCTCAGAGCCCTGATTTAGCACTTTTGTTTGAGGTTGGAAAAGGAAGGCCAAGGCATTAGGCTTTAGAAATGAGAGCAGGCACCTCTGCCCCTGCTGCTTATAATGCCCATCATCTGCCATTCATTTACCTCCTTTATTCTGGGCCACCACCTCCTCCAGGAGGCCTCACCTGATTGCCTCTACTCTCCTGTGGTGCCCATTCTTGGTCCTCCCAAAATGCCCCATGAATATTTTGTTCAGCATGTTGTTTTATAATTATCCACTTGTGCGCATTTCTGTACCAGGCTGTGAGCACCTTTAAGGTGAAGACTATATCTTATCCATTTTATATCTCCAGGTATATGTACATATATTCACTTTACACTTACTTGTACATAGTAGGTGTTTGATAAATACTTGTTTTTTTTAAATGAATATATGTGACATCTGGGCTACGCTTAAAGCAGCCAAAAGTAACAAGAAGACACAACTATGTGAAGGACAATGGCAGATAGTATGAATGGGAAGAAATGGGAGATGATCAAACTGATAAGGAAAAATGCAATCAAATTATCAACGGCTTAACTCTGTTAGAGATCTTGGGCTTTATGCCAGGCAACAGGAACCAGCCAGTGCTCCTGGAAAGAAGCACCACGGGCATTACAGGACACTTCCAGCAAGGAACTATCCCTCCAGGTGCTGAAGAACATTAAGTCCTCTTGGTCCTCAAATATCAGTACTGTGTTCCAGTCCCTATGGCAACCAACAATGCCTCTACAGATTTTCAAATATCCTCAGGAGTGCATCTGGGTCCCTGCTGAGAACAACTAAGCTAAGCTTCTTTTTTTAGGGTCAATCTGTTTTTCAAGACACCAACTCTGGTGATCAGGTTGGAGATAGGCTGGAAAAGAAGGAAATTAGAGGCAGGAAACAGCTCAGAGGTGACTCAACAGTTCAGGTGCAAGGTAAACAAGTCTTGCTTTAAGGTAAAGGTGGTAGAGATGTAGCAGAGGTAAGGAATTAAAAAATATATTCACAGAGGATCACACGACTTGCTAAACAAGCAGCTATGGGAGGGTGAGGATAAAATAAAAGGGAATTTAAGATAACCATACATTCTCTAGCTTGCATAATACAGTGTGTGGAATTCAAGAATCAACACAGAAGGAAGCACTGGTTATGCTTGCTAAAGCAGACATTCAAGAGAGGAATTTTTTTGCTTGGTCGAAAATGATTCCAAGTTCCTGGCATAAACACATCAGTTAGAAGCCATGAGCATAGAGGAGGAGACTGTGGGAATAAGGAGGAGAGGGACAGAATCTTACGAAGCAATGTTAAAAGGGTAAGCAGAGCAGAAACCATGGCAACGGAATGAGGAAGAGCAGCAGGGGCAGAGCAGAACCAGTGCACTGGGTCTAGTTCTGATGGGCAGGACCTGCAGCGAGTATTCCTGTAATCACAGGTGTGTGCAAACTTCCACTCCTTTGATTATATTACTGCAGAAAATTAAGTATTGTGCAAGAGCAGAATAACTCTGCTGTCAAGATGTTGCATAAGTATCTGTTGGAAATATAAGAGTAGCATAGATCATCTGCATACCAGTTCTTCCTTTTGAGATATCAGACACAAACAAAATATAGCAACTCAGAGCTTCCTCGTATGCCACTGAAACTATCATCTTCATGTCATATGGGTTTCTGAGGGTTAGCATGTGCTCATACGGTAGGGACTTGTACAGCCCAGGACAAAAGGGACTAATGAACAAAAGCTGCTGTGCTCTGCTGGCTGCACATGGAGACCTTCTCTGAACAAATGTAGCCTGGAGTAGACATTTGATGGTCCTCCTTAGAGTCTACCCTTCTTTCTCTCTGTAACAGTATCCTGATTTCTCTTAGGAGTCTCCCCTGCTCTCAATAAAGCCTGTGATCTGAACACAGGACCACAGCCCATGCTCCGGGGCAAGCCCTGATTAGCTTAAGTCAACCAGTGCATCACTTCTCCTCGCCCAACCTCACCCACTAGCCACAGTACCTAGAAGGGCACAGGAAAGGTCAGGAATGAGAAATATGACTCAGTACAAATCAGTGCAATGGAGAGGATTTCTACTTGCCAAGGGCTTGGAAAAAAAGGTTTTCTTACTCCATTAAGAAAACTCTGGGAAGAGGCATTCCCTACTCCTGCTGGACATGTATAAGGAAGTAAGTTGCCCATGGAAGCTGCCGGTAGCTAACTTGCAACCATGAGGGATGCCCATCTGGGGATATAGCAGACAATAAAGGCAGCAGGAGGGAGAGAAGGAAAAAACTGGGATTCTGATCACATCATTGAAATGCTACACCATGACTTACCTCAAGTCCATCCCAACTTCTGGGCTTTTCAGTTAGAAGCCAATAAATTACTTCTGTTTTCTAAGTCAATTTAAGACAGATTTTCAGCTTTTTGCCATCAAAGCACTCCTAACTGACATGCCCGTTCTCTTATCAATGACAAATGGCTCACTGAGTCTTTAAAAGCACATGGAGAAAATCACTGTGAACAGGGCTTTCTGCTCAGCAATGTCTTAAGCACAAAAGAATGTTCTGGTCAGGCAGGTGTCATGAGTGTGAATGGCAATACAAGGTACGAATCTGCTGATGCTGCTTGGGAAAAACCAACCAATCAAAGGGTGAAAAGCCTCACAGAGACATGAGAACTATGGCTCTGAGTCACATCCAATACTCACATGTCTCCTCTCAGCATCAGTGCCATGCTGGCCCTGGAAGCATGCCATCAGGCGCTTGTGGGAATGGTGGCACATTGACCGCACTGTGTCCAGGCGCCGCTCAATCTAACCAACAGAGACAAATGAGCCATTTGTAGGTCTTAAGAACAAACTCAGCCTCTTCCTTATGTGACATTTGCATGTGGGCAAGAAAAGCATCCAACCATCTAATTTCTTGAGTGTAAATGGAAGTGGTTTGCACTCACCTACACCAGGGTTTCTCACTATGACATTTGGGGTCAGGTAATTCTGGGTTGTGGGGAGCTTTCCTGTGCTTCATGGTATGCTTAGCATTATCTCTGGCCCCTGCCCACTGGATACCAGTAACACCCTACTCTCCGAGCAGTGACAACCAAAAATGTCTCCACACATCGTCAAAGATGCCCCTCAAGGGCAAAACAGCCCCTGGTTGAGGACCACTGACCTCCCTTACACTGAGGGTTTTACACTCCCTTACACTCCCACAAGGCTGAATCCATGTGCAGGGAGAGGGGGCAGTCCTGAATAAAACTGCTATCAGAAAGAGTGGTGGCAGTCAAGTCATACATGGCAGCACAAACAAGGGCCCAGGTCCAGCCTGCAGAAGCACACATGAACAGCGCAGGCCCAGATCCACTGCCAAGTGGGGAAAGCCACAAGGGCATTCTGAAGCTGAAGCTATGCCCTGCACGTTGGCAGGGAGCCTCCTGCGCACAGGACATCAGACAGAAGGGTCAAAATGAATGCTGACAATTAATTTAAGATCAGTATTTTCAAAATTGTTCCTTATTGGGTTTGGGGTGGTTTTCTGTTTGTTTTTTTTTAAATAAACCTCTAAGGTAGAATGGACAGCCAGCAGTAAGAAACACTGACTTAGGGGACCCACGCATAATGATTAGCTTCCCAAAATGTTATTGCTAGGATATAGCTGTTTATGGCAAAGAGAGTTGCTTTTTACAGGAAGGAATGCCAAAAATGTGTATTCTGATGACTCATTAAGAATGAGTGCAGGCCCTTAGGGATGCTTTCTGTTTTAAAGAAAAATCAACAAATTCAAAGCAGAATACACTTTACCCAGTTATGTGGTTTTTTGTGCCTCTTTCTCAAAGGTCCTCAGCCCACCTCCAGTTTTTCTTTAGACCCAGGCTTGACATCACCTTCCCCAAATCTTGTAATGACTAGATTTTAAAACACTGGAAAACTAATACACACTCCTCATTTGCCACAAAAGGAGGCCAAGAAACAACCACCCAACTCCACTGTATTTTGATTCCAATTTCCACTAGAATGCAAAGGCTGCAGGGACAGGGGCCTTGGTCTGTTCTGTTTACTGATTTATTCCAAGTGCCTGGAATGCTGTGTGGCACATGAGTGGAAGGTATTTACTTAATATCTGTTGAAAGGACAAGTATATACTGAGTCCCTGTGCAAGGTATTAGAAATACAACGGTAAGTAAATTGTGGTTCTTGCCCTCCTGGGATTTACAGCCTCCTGGGGAAACTCCATAAAGCAAAATGAAAAGGCAGCCTCTTGTACTGCTCAAACAGGGAGCTGAGCAAAGAGGAGGAATACAGAGCAAGTTCAGGGGAGTTTCAGGGCAGAAACAGACCAGAACAGCACAATCTCTGTGCTTTGCCGTCCACTTCCAGTGCTATCCTTGTCTACCTCATTAACTCCTGCTAACAACCCTATGGGGTGGTTGCAGCTGTTAGCCTCATTTTAGTGTTGGAAAATGAGGAACAGGGAGGTTAAGTTAAGCCCTGAGGCCACAAAGTTAGTCAGGGCAGACCTAGAATTCGAATCCAGGTAGCTAGGCACCAGAAGCTGCCCTTTTAAACATTACTCTCCTTCTTTATAATTAAAAAGAACCAAAACCAGAAGGGAAACACCTGCAGCAATTATGGCAGACACAGAGTACGTTACAAAATAAGGAGTTCCTAGAAACTAGCAAACTCTTCAGGTCCCAGTGGATGTCTGGGCAGAGGGACAGGAGCAGACAGGTGCGGCCTGAGTGCTGTGTGAGCTCTGCCTGCAAGGCCCCCAGGCGTCATCTCAGCATCAAGAATCCAGTGAGATAACGTGTATTACTGAAGTGGGATGTGGAAAGGACAATACTGACATGAAATCCTAGATTAGCCTTAACTAAACCAGGTATTTCTGAAAGTCTAAAGATGAATTTGAAGTTTATGATAAAAACCAATGAGGAAACACTAAGAATATGATTCTGTAATCTTTTTTTTTTAAAAAAACCCTTCTAATCCTTAATAAAAACTTCTAGCCCTCAGAAAGAAAAAACAGGTGCTGTTAATATATATGTTACCTGCAGAGGGCTGTCATAATCTAGAAGGATGTTTTGACATGGTGTGATGGAAGCAACACTTTTCTAAATTATGCCAGCTCCTTCTCTCCAAAGGAGTAAAGAGAAAGTCACCTGGGAGCAGATCTTGGTCTTCAGAGACTCACTTGAGCAGACCTGCTGTAGTCTAGGGAAATGAGGAGCAAAGAGGAGGTCTAACAGCAGCCCCGGGGTAGGAGGGGTGCAGTCCCTCCTGGTGCATTCTGGGGTAGGTGGGGCAGGGCGGGTTTGGGTGAAGGGGTGTGTAAGTCAGGGAAGCCTGCAGGGAGACAGAGTGGAGTGGCGCTGGCTGAGGTCCCTGGCAGGAAATACCCTTCCCTGGGATCGTAAAGAGAGTCTAGGCTGATGACAGACCACCCTAGGGCCTCAGGGTGGTTCTGACAGACCAGACTCTATGGCCCTCAGGAGCCCACTCAGCCCAGAGCCAGAGAACAACAGCATGAGAGGGGGCAGGAAGTTAAAAGAACTCTAGGCTGGAGCCGACAGGGCCTCTGCAGCGGCTGACAGGCCGGACCTATCAAGGGCACCTCACAGCCGTGAGCTAGCACCCCTTAGCCTGCCAGGGCCATGACCAGGCCACAGTGCCAGTGGGCTGGCCAGGTCAGCTGGGCTCCTTCCCCACCCCCGCCCTAACACCTGGCACTTGAAAGCAGGCTAGCCCCATATGAACTTCAAAACACGACACCTAAGTTTCAGATCTCCTTTTTATCATAATGCAACTCAACTGCTTTTCTTTCCTGCTCAAAACCATGCTAATCAATTTTATTGTTTCAGGTAAAAATAAATAAATAAGCTTTGGTTCTCAGCTATGGGTTTAAAGAGTACTTTAAAAAGATTTTATTTTGTTACCTGTAATAGATCTTCACTGAGAACTTCTGTTTTCTCGGCTCTGTAGAAAAAATTAAAAGCTCAAGAGTTAGAAATTCAGAAATGAAAAGCAACTCATGAAATTAGTAATTACTATCCTGGAGTTTAAAACAAAACAAGCAGAAATAAATGATAACAGGGGGAGACATTCCACCAGTTTTACATCAGAGGGCACCTTAAGCAAAACCAACAAAAAACAAACAGGAGTTTGCAGGGAATAGTGACCCAAGACAAGAACAAACAACCCAGACCCAGTGGTTCTCAGACTCACACATGCACTTACTGATTGAAAATGCCATTTTCCAAGTTTGGCCGCAAGAGAGCCTAATTGAGTAGGTCTGCAGCCAGACCCGACATTTTAAGAAGCCCCTCCTGCCCATAATTCCACGGCAGGAGGCCTTTTGACAGCCTTTGTGAAAAGACTGCACTAGAGAAGCTTAAACTTCAGTTCTTAAAATGACTGTTTCTGAGTTTCATAGCCTTATTCAAAGAAGCCTGCAATGATACATAATAATAATTGAGTATTTCTTTCTTCAGATACCTCATCTTTACTTTAAAAAGAAGCAGTATTTTCACAATTTCTCCTTATCTATGCTTCAGAACTACTGCTAACTTCACTGACTTTTCCAGAAAACCAACGTAACACCCAACAATCATCAGAAGAGCTTTCTGAGAGGCTGAGTCTCAGGTGCCAGATCCCAGTACCTTTTAAGAAGACTTTTCACTGCAATTCAAAAGGGCAGCATCATTGCTATACATAATACCCAGAATTACTACAATCAAAGCACCATTCTGGACTTCTGGTTTAAACAGTATTTAAGCTCAAACAGTGATTTAAGCCAAGTCATTTAGCATCCCTACCAAATTCCCACTGAAATGAATAGGAAATTATTACAGGGAAAAGAAAAAGTCTGTTTCAGCCCTGAACATTAAGGGAGGAGAGGGAGGGAAAGCCATCAATAAACCAGTAATGTTGAAGCCTTTTTATAAGATATAATGCAGAATGGAAGGTTGCATGATCTGGCCCATGAACCAATGCAAGAGAAGGAAAGGCTGGCCAGAACATGAATGGGACCCCCTAGAATGACCTGAACACACTGCTAAGCCCAGAGCAGCAGCAGCTGCAAGAAGTATGGTGGGGGCACCTCCAGCCTATGCTCGGGTCATAGCACAAGTAAGACTTGGGCCTTACCACAGAGGATTCAGATACCAATTGTCACAGTAGTGCCCCGGTTAATTTGGAGATGCCTACGGGAGTGGCTCACTCACTGGTTTCTGCACCTGACCTGCCTTGAATACCAACTGGGTTCAGAGGAGCAAAGCCTGGAGATAAGGTCAACGTTCTGGCTTCCAGAAGAGGCCAGCTCTCAACTCTATGAACAAGTTCTGCAGGCAGCTGGCCAAAATATGCCATCCCAGCCCTTGCTTGGCATGCATGGTGCCAGGCCTGCTGAGGTGCCAAGCACAGGTAGTCATGCCAGTTAGGGAAGTGGAGTAGGTGACTAGGAGCTCAAGCAACCAGCCTCAGAAAGAACTCTGACAGTTGGCCTAGCAGGGACATACATGGCATGAGACCACCATAGCTTCACCATTACTCCTGTTCACTGATAGCTTCCTCCCCCCTTAGCAAAACACCACCACTGGATTGTACAATTTTCACCTTGTCTTCTCTGGCCAGGACCCTGTACACCTCTGATGGAACTCTGAAACCTCCTTCTTCTCTATACAGACAAAAGTTCCCAAGGCCTATTAATATCAAAGTTCAAAAAGATAGATTCAGAGCCAGTATGTCTCCTTATGAACAAAAATATGTAAAAAAATATAGCAGAAGAGGAAAATTTAGTTTTAAAATCCCAATATGGACTATTAGCAGGTGTGAGAGAGTCAGTAATAGCTCAGTGGTACAGGAGAACCAATTGTGTACCTCTTTTCCTAGCTCCTTGTTCAGTGACCTCACACTGGTAGTTGAAATGAAAATCAAACACAGTACAAATGCAAACAATACAAATCAGGGCTTTTTTTTTTAAGTGAGACAGACATTTATGAGCACAGCACTGCAATAGCCACAAAGAAAATAAAACATGTAAAAACAAAGCAAATATTAACTTCAGAAAACACAAAGTCCACTGGAGAGAGTCCATTAGTCATAGTACACTACTATGCTCAGCTGCAGATAATTGATTAGATATAACAATGTAAATATCAAATGGTAATATATCAAAAAATTATAATACAACTATATTGGAAGAATGAGGGAGCAGAAGCAGAAAGGATGGTTATACAAAAGCCCATTTAAACTCTCATTTATCAAAATAAGAGTTAGGAAGTAATATCTAAAACTTGGTAACTTGAAGGACAGCAGCTTACATATTATTTATAAATATGGATATGAGTAAATGCCAGAATAAAAAGCTAAAATTCCAAAGTAGTTGCCTCTGGGGTTGATAAGTTGCAACTGGGAGAGTGGAGTTAGTAGAGACAACCCACTGTACTTTAGGATAAGCCTTTTACTATTATTTGACTTTTTAATAAATGTATACATTGTTTCAAATTTTAAAAAATAGCATGTTGGTTATATTTTTCAGTAACATGCCTGATATGGTTTCAAGTGATGCGTGACTTCAAGTGAAGCATAACTCTAAAGCGATGGGCCCAACCGCCAATCTGTACAAATGTACAACGGAACACATACTCAGAGTATCCAAAACATAAGGCAAATCAGTATATTTATTGTCCTTTTTTTCAAATTAATAACTAGACCCTTTGCTTTAAGTTTAGAAGTACTTTTACCTAAAAAGTATCCAGAGGCTAAAAAGTCTATGGAACATACTATATGAAAATGTTAACATACTATTTGAAAATAAGTTTACCCTATGTTTCCTGCCTTTGTAGACAGTTTATTGCACTAATGTTTGAAAATTAATTTTTGAAAGACATTCAATGCATCTTCTTAACTGAAATTAAAAATTACCTATAATCAGAAAAGATTACTTCCCCCACAGCTTTATAGAGGTATAACTGACAAAACTATACATATTTAAAGGGTACAATATGATAATTTGATTTACATATACTTTGTGAATTTATTACCCCAGTCAGGTTATGAACACATCTTCGGCTCCCATAGTTAGTTTTTTTGTAATAGCTGCTGTGAGAATACTCAAGATCTATTATCTTAGCAAATATCTAATAAAGTCTTACTAACTATAATCACGATGCTGTACATTAGATCCCCAGAACTTACTCATTTTCTAACTGAAAGTTCATACCCTTTGACTAGCATCTCCTCATTTCTCACCAACCTCTAGCTACCTTTGGCTTTTTTTTTTTAAGATCCCACATGTACATGAGATCATTACACTATTTATCATTCTCTGTCTGGCTTATTTCACTTAGCATAATGTCCTCCAGATTTATCCATGTTACTGCAAACTGCAAGAGTTCTTTCTTTTTCATGGCTGTTGAATATTTTGCCTTCATATAGCTATATATAATCACACACATACCCCTCACAGTTTCTTTATCCATTCATCTATCAACTGAAACTGAAGTTGTTTTCATATCTTAGCTACTGTGAATAATGCTGCAATGAACATGGGATACAGATATCTCTTTGAGGTTCTGATTTTATTTCCTTTAAATATATACCCAGAAGTGGGGCTGCTGGGTCATACGGTAGTTCTATTTTTAATTTTTTGAGGAACCTCCATGCTGTTTTCCATAATGACTATACCAATTTATATTCCCATCAACAGTACACAAGGGTTCCCTCTCTCTACATCTTGCCAGTGTATGTAGGCCCTTTGTCCATATTTTAATCAAGTTATTTGTTGTTTTACTATTGAGTTATATGAATTTCTTATGTATTTTGGATATTAACTCCTTATAGGATATATATTTGTGAATATTTTTTACCATTCTGTAGTTTGACTTTTCATTTTGGTGATTCTTTCACTGTGCAGAAGCTTTTTAGTTTGATAAAGTCCCACTTGTTTATTTTTGCTTTCGTTGACAGTGTTTTTAGTGTCATGTCCAAAAATCATTGCCACGACCAATGTCAAGGAGTTTTCTCTGTTTTCTTCTATGAGTTTTATGATATCAAGTGTTCCATTTCAGCCTTTAATCCATTTTGAGTTAATTTCTGTGAGTTGTGTAAGGCAGGGGTCCAGTTTCATTCTTTTGCATGAGGATATCATTTTTCCCAACAACATTTATTAAAGAGACTACCCTTTACCCATTGCATAGTCTTGGTGCCCTCATTAAAGATTAGATGACCATATGTGTGTAGATTTATTTTGGCCTTCTATTCTGTTCCACTGATCTGTGTGTCTGTTTGTATATCAATACCATACTGATTTGATTACTACAGCTTCATAATATAGCCAGAAATCAGGAAGTGTGATACCTCTAGCTTTGTTCTTGCTCAGGATTGCTTTGGCTATTCAGGGTCTTTTGTGGTTCCATATGAATTTTAAAACTGTTTTTTCTATTTCTGTGAAAAATGCCATTGCAATTTTGATAGGTACCCCACTCAAACAAGGCTTACACTAGGCAGGATTTTTAATTTTAGATAGCTTTAGTTAGCATGAATATTTTAATATTAAGTCTTCCAACTTATTAATATGGGATATCTAGGAGAGATTACTTTTAAGTGACAAATCATGATTCTGGAATGTAATATACAAATTGGGGTTGCTCTGTCCTACAAAGATTCCCCCTCTGGCCTATGCTATCCCCATCTCAGTTTTAGGGAACACCACTGGCCCCACTTCCCCCAATATGTGGCCCAATGCCCCGATCTCCCTCATCACTGTGACTGTCTGGGGCTCAGCCCTTCCTATCCCAAACTGCTTTGGAGTGCTCATCTTTGCCAGAGATATGGAATTTTTACCTAAGGGAAGTCCAGGAATTATTCAGGATACTGTCTAAGGTGCCTGTTCAAAGGCATTTACACTAGTCACAGAAACTTTATTTTTGCTAAAACCAAGAGTTATCTTTGATCCATTTTTTAAAAAATTCATT